CGCTGGAAAAATAAAAAAGGAAAAAATGAAAAGAGAATTAATTAGGGTTTTCTTTTAATTGTTTTTATCAAGGGTAAAAATGGAAGATCACCATCTAATTTTGTTAGTTACTATAATTTAATTTATTGAATGTTAGATAATGAATTAGATTACCATTAGGTAATATAGATGCTAATTTCTCTTTCTTCAATTTTTTTAGAGCAAATTTACTTTTTGCAGAGATATAATCACAAAAGCAATTAATTTAGAGAGGAAATCAAGAGAAGATTTTTCGGAATTTTTTCTTATTTATTATTACCTTAATCACATTTGTAAGCGCAATTTCGTCATAATTTTAATTCTCTCTGTAACTCACCTTAATATATTTTTGGACATGTTATTTACCTAATTTTCCCCCTCAAAAGTGATGTTCTACTATTTAACCAAAAAAACCCTCCAAAACATCTTATATTTTGAAACGGAGGGAGTATTGAAAAATTTTGAACTGTCCATCCAATACGGTTTATCCATCCTAATCTATTACGTCATTATCAAGTATTTGAAAGGGTTCCCTATGCGAAGCAATTCACTAATGTAGAGCTGCTCCTTTCACCAAGATTTCATTTATCGACAGAGGTCGTTGGCTTTAGAACATAATAATTTAAGGGTATTCTTTAGCCATTAATTTATTCGTAGTCGAATGGTTTTATAAAAAACCCTAAACCATGTATGCTTTACTTATAAAAATGGTATATGTGAGACAAACATCTTTAACATATTTACGAGAAGTTTCCAATGCATAATTGTCTATAAAACCATAATTGTTGGGTAGAGAATAGAGACCAATAAATTTTTCTCACCTAAAATCTCATGTCGATGAATCCTCTGAATTGGTCATATGTTTTAATTCTCTGATTTAGCCTTCTGTTTTTTGGTTTTAATATTGAATGAAACCGAACTGAACGAATTATGGTTTCCTCTATATAGTTTCTTCTTCCAAGTTAGTCAAAATTCTAAGCTAAAGTCTCACACAAAAATATATGATTCTAGTATATACAATTTATTTCACCGTATTATTCTATTAAAATTGGAAAAAATGAAAAACTTGTCTAACTTACATAATGAAATTTGAATGAATAAAAGAAATTCCACTAAACATGCAGAAGTAAAATGGCGAATTCAGTGTCTAAATACTATGGTAGATTGTGCTAGTCAACAAGCTTCAGCGATATCGATTAGATAAAAATAGTGATACGAGGAGGCAAACTAAGGACCATAAATTCTGCATTGGAAGAAGACTAGGATATACAGATTCATCATGAATCATCAATTATTATTGAAGCACATGAAGTTGTGATAAGGAAACAACAAAAATTTCACGGATCAATTCACCATCGCAGATATGAATTGATGTTGGAAGCTATGCTACATGGAATTAGAAGCGGATACGCGGAAACGAAACATTAAGAAAGATAGAATCAACCAACATGATTCATATTCCACCTACACTTTTAAGTTTTAAAATCAAACAACACTATTCATATCCATGCTACATAAAAAAAAATTATATGGAGTTTTTTAGTTAAGTTAATAAATTACCATAGATATCTTTAATTTTTTTAATTATTTATTTTTGACCTTTCCAAAATAAAAAAAAAATCAAAGCTTTCAAAATGGAATCAAAGCTTCCAAAACGCTCTCAAAATTATTCATTTAGGAACCACGTTTTCACAGCGCTTTAGAGATGATGTAGTCTCGAATATACGGTTCACATCGATGACTGATCAACAAATGGTTCAATGCAAATCAAGTCCAAAATTCAAAAAAAATTCTAGAAGACAATCAATTCATGGGTATATCAAGAAAGTGTCTAGATACAAGGAACTAATCTACATTAATGTCGATTGATAAATCTTTCAAAAT